GGAAGAGTAATTTTCTTTCTTCTTCCATCTCTTTTTCTTTTTTTTTCTTAATTTTTTGGTAGCTCAGAAAATGCAGGAAAACGACTTTCTTGATGTTTCTTCAGATTTCTTCTTCGAACTTTTTCACTGTATATTTTCTTTCAAACAAATTCGGCGAATTTCCCTTTTATGTACCGCCGGTCTGGTTCTTTTTTACTTTGTTTAGGTTGTTCATGCTATTATAATGTATGTATGCAGTTCACGAGATTTGTGACCCAATTTTTTGCAGCTTTTAAGATTTTTTTGTTGTGACAAATTTGACTTCATTTGTTGATTATTTTTTCAAAGTTTGCTTCTTGTTCGTGTTGGTCAGTGAAAATTTTTGCTTGTTTTATTTTCCAAAATCAGAAAATTTTGTAATATATCTATATATATATATATATATATTCTAAAGTAGGCATATTGCATGGAATGATGATTCTGTTTTTTTTACAAACCTTGTTGGGAATGTAGTTATGTGTGGTCTGCATTCCTTCCTTGGGTTCAAAATTATTCTGTGTTGTGTTGTGTTGTTCCATGGTTATGAATTGTTTACTGCAGTATCTATCAAGAACAATAGAATTTTTTAGTGGCTTAATAACCACCTGACTTCTAACAGTGAAACCGAGCTTGGTTTAACATCTTGGTATTTGCCTTTTGGATATAATTTTACTCACTGTTATGTTTTTATGCTCATTGAGATGGAGATAATAAGATCTCAACCCAATTTATACTCATGAAAAACTCTAATAATGGGCGATTGGCGTTTGGGTTTGGGTTTGTTTGTGGTGTTTCCGTAGTTAAGAACAACTGCACTGCCATTTAAGTTCTACTGGATATGTACCGAGATCTGATCATAGAAACTCTAATGCGTGGTGGATTTACTTTGTGACCATCTTTCTCAACTTGGAACTTTCAGTAACCTGTATTGGCTTTTAATTTAGGCCAACTAAAAACTTGTCTTTTTTCCATTTTCTTGTGTAGAATGGAATCTCAGGTGAAGCATGCTGTGGTTGTGAAAGTCATGGGCCGGACGGGCTCGAGAGGACAGGTGACTCAAGTGAGAGTCAAGTTTCTTGATGACCAGAACCGCTTCATCATGAGGAATGTCAAGGGGCCAGTGAGGGAAGGTGACATTCTCACCTTGCTCGAGTCCGAGAGAGAAGCAAGGAGGTTGCGTTGATGGGTCTTTCATGTCGTTGATCGCAACTTTTTTCTTTTTGTCAGTTTTGTTTACTTGCATACTTCTGTGTTAGTGAATTGTTTGGTACCATTAGCATGGCAAAACTTGAGTTTTGAGACTATCTATATGTGGAATGATTTAGATTTGTTCATGGTGGTACAGAACTAAACTTGGGTTTTATCAGTTTTTGCTTGCTTCAAGTGGTGGTTTAATTGCCCCTTGTTCATTTCTTCTTGGGCTTAGATTTTTTGTCGCCGTTTTGTGCTAAGCGTTGCTGGAAATTTTACGTTTTGCTCCTTTTTGGGAAGAGTGAACGAACACACACGATTGTTTCTCCTACAGTGTAAAGCTTCTTTATTTTTAGTTTTTGTTTGTGGTGTGCCAAATCCCAATTGGTTTACAAGGTTTTCACTTTTCATCTTTTTCTGTCCTTTGCCATGAAAAAAAAATCTCTTTATGTTGCACGAAAAAAAGAAAGCGGAGAAAATGAAGGAATCACAAATGATGAAAATTAATGAATTTTAAGTCTCGTTCATTACACCGATTTGAATTTTTAGTTTTAAGTTTTTACAATAAAAAATTTTCAGAAAATGTCACATTTAATTTTTTTGGTTACAGTGAAAAGTTTTTAAAAAATATCACATTTTAATTCGTAGATATTCGAATCTGCGAAGTGAACGAGATTTTAATATTATTAATGAAATGAGTAATTAAATTTTTTAACTTGAAAATACTTTTGTCCAGCACTATGCGGAAGAATTTTAAATCCAAAATAAGTGGGATTTCACAATATTAATTAATTAAAAACTTATTTCAAGATCTAATTGGGCTTAATAATATTAGAGATATTTAGGGAATGTGTTATGATCTGTCAGGGCTCTTTAGATAGATATTTGGATATGTTTAGTTTGTTAATTTAAATTTTTAATTATAATTTTATATGAGAATTTTTTATTATAGTTAAAAAGGTAGATGTGATTATTTTTAAGAGTTTTTTACTATAGTAAAATTTAAATTTTAAATTCGAATCAGTGAAATGAACGGGGGATTAATTTTTCTGTCATGTGGTAAAACAAATTTGAGATTTCCGTTTAGTTTACTGATTTGAGTTTTAATTTGAGTTGGGATGCGATTTGAGTTGGAATTAAGATTCTGAATTATGATTCTGAATACATCTATTAAACGCACATTTAGTATTCTAAATATAGTATGATGTCGTGGTTGAAGTATTCTCTACAAGAATTTATATTTTCTGACATAAGTCAATCTAATCTTAAAATTTGTGGCAGTTATCTTATAATGACATAATCCCTTCTAGTACAATAAAAAATGAAAAATCAAGGAAATAAAATATATATTTAATTGATAAAAAATGAGAAAACAAACACTCAATTTTCCAGTAATTTTCTTTTCTCATTGTGCATTTCAAGTTCATTTTCGATTCGTTTGGTACCTTAGAAAATGCACGAAAACATGTTGATGTTTCTCTAGATTTCTTCTTAGGTTTAGCTTCTTTCACTACCAGGCACAAAGCTAAAATAATACAAATTAGATGTAGGGATTTTTTTGAAATTTTTAAAGGGTTGTAACCAGTGATGATTGAAATTTAAAGTAAAACAGGGGATGTTAATGGATTTCTTGTAGCCCTCTCAACTACTTTTTTTTTTTTCACTCACCACATAATTAATTTTATGTCTAACTTGCCCACTAGTGTAATTTATAATCTACATCTATAATGTAATTATCTAAAACATTTATAATCAGTAATTTATAATCTAGATCTACAATTTATAACATCTGTAAGATGTATAAGTAAAATTTATAACCTATAATCTATAATATATCAATAATGACACCTCCCCTTTCCATCACGTGGCAACTTATTATTTTTTCCTTTCCTTCTTTTTTTTCTCCGCTTTCTTTTTCCTTTTTCAATTCTTTTACCTTTCTTTGCTTATTTTTTTGGTTATTTATTATTCTTTTTTCTCCTTTTTGCTGAAAACCCTATACAGTTTATTTGTTTTTATCATGTGTGTTTTTCAAATACTTTTTTTTTTCTTGCTCTGATTTGTTAGAATAGCGTGGATTTCAATACATCTAATAAAAAGAAGATTAAAAACAATGTGCTAATAGTCGAGCATTGACAAAAAATCAACATTAATATTCTTTTGTTTGAAGCTAACTAATAAAAATGCCATTCTTTACGAGGGATATAAATCGTTTATGTTTATTCAGTTACATTTTGCCATATCATTTAATAAACAAGCATGATAGAGTCAATTAAAAAATATTTTAATTTTTTTAAAAATAATATAGTATGATATGCTTCGTTAAATGACAATTTGTTGCATGAAAGCAGTTAACGACTAGTGGGGGCTTAAGTCCCCACAAACTTTGTTATATTTGAAAATCCTATATAATTAAATATGTATTGGATTATATTAATAAATACATAGCCCTCATTAAAAATTTGAAAATTAATCTTATAGTCCCGGTAAATTTTTATTTTAGATATTAGCACTCACTGACATGAATTTTTGGCTCCATCATTACCAATTCGATCATATCATTTGAATGTCTTTACTATAAATCAGAAACCCACAAGTGTAACCTCCGAAAATCAAGCATGAACATAGGTTAATTACTTTGTTGGTTATTAACGTGGGACAAATTCACAAGCTAACAATTACATGCATATATTTATATTACGAATTTCTCGTACATATATAAGCTTATGCAGAAGAGACTTCATTGGCCATGCAATCCAGCCAAATACCATGACCTGTAATTCCGTTTTGTACAAGTTGGGATTTTGAGCCAAAGCTTGCAGCTTTTGGATTATAGATCAAACTCTTTAGTTACATTGTTTTGTTTATATATATAAACAACATTGAGAAGAAATATATATTATTAGAACTCTCAATCGAGTTCCAATTCAAACAAACATATTAGCACTTTCCCTTGAGTTCAATGGAGCATTGTCTTCTCTAGAGACTCTTTTCTTGCAATAGAAAAAAAAAAATCATACAATCACAATTATTATACTTCATTGCAATAGAAAATAAATAAGGAAACATAGCTAATAGACAAACCAAAGAAGAATTATATTATAAGACAACAGTCTCAATCCCAACACATAGTGAACCATACCATCAAATGAATCGTCAAAGCTGAATATCTTATAAACATAAAATTCAGTTTTCCAAGAAAAACAAACTGACCACTAAAAAAGCAAGCTCAATAGCCTTCAGCACATCCAAAAGGTTCCTCATTCTCTTTGCAGCTAAACTTGTGGACACATAAGACGTGAATTCTCATAATTCCACCGCTTCATCAAGAGTTATTGTAGTAAATAGTATATTTTTTAACTAAATTAAGTAAATCACATATTTTAAAACTATTTGAAGAACATACAAGTTTACGTAGTAAATGAATCATTTACCGTCTAATTAATTCAATTACAACGGGTAAAAATTAACTTATGTGACAATGAACGATTTACGTAGTAAATATTTCATTTACCACGTAAACTGTTATTTATTTTAAATAGTTTTAAATATACTATTTATTACGGCATTCTACCTTACATCAACTGTAGCCAACAAGCCCACAACACTCAGAGGAGCCCAATTAAGCCCAATCAACACACGCAGAGGGATGATCAGCAACAACAATTTTTAACGCCACTTCAATAACATGATCTAACACAAAAAGAGAGACAAAATTAACTACAAAAGGAAATATTATAAATAAATAAAAACAACTAATAAAAACTTGCCCAAATACTTCAAAAAAAAAATAATAATAAAGAAAAAGAAAGAAAACAACCAATAATGTGAAAGTTTCTCTCTTATTACGTGCAAGAGTAACTAATACATCAGAGAAAAATATTAGCAATTAAATTGCGGAACACATATACAAATGATAAATATTAAATATTACCTTGCATATGACAGGGCAAACGTGAATTTTTTTTTATACCCTAATTCTCTTAGGGAGTGGTTCCTCGCCTTCTTCATGATTGGATTCAAAATAAATGGCTTCTCTTCCTCTTGATTGGATTTAAATCTCTTTGTCTCGTAGGTATATAAGAGGTGGACCCCGCACTTCACAACTTTTCCATTATGATTTACGTCTCTCTCCACATTTCCATCGTCACTATCCTTGTACAAATAAAAGGAAAAAGAGGCTGTAGCAGTTGGATCGAACCCACTCTTCTCATTTTCATCAAAATCAGAACTTCTTTGGTCTGCTTTATCCTTCAATGCATTCATGAACTCACCGTAAGTGGGGTCTAGATACATGAACGCTTGTTGGCAATTACTCATTGGGTGACGATGATGTTGACTAGTATAATAACCATAATCCATGGTAAACGAGAAAATAGAAATACAAAATTCACAAAAATACGTAGTCGCATCTCCAAATGGAATATAGAAATTAACAGCACACATGAATTAAATCTCTTAGGGAGTGGTTCCTCGCCTTCTTCATGATTGGATTCAAAATAAATGGCTTCTCTTCCTCTTGATTGGATTTAAATCTCTTTGTCTCGTAGGTATATAAGAGGTGGACCCCGCACTTCACAACTTTTCCATTATGATTTACGTCTCTCTCCACATTTCCATCGTCACTATCCTTGTACAAATAAAAGGAAAAAGAGGCTGTAGCAGTTGGATCGAACCCACTCTTCTCATTTTCATCAAAATCAGAACTTCTTTGGTCTGCTTTATCCTTCAATGCATTCATGAACTCACCGTAAGTGGGGTCTAGATACATGAATGCTTGTTGGCAATTACTCATTGGGTGACGATGATGTTGACTAGTATAATAACCAAAATCCATGGTAAACGAGAAAATAGAATTACAAAATTCACAAAAATACGTAGTCGCATCTCCAAATGGAATATAGAAATTCACAAATCTTCTCCGTCTCCATGAATCGCCATTAAGGAACATGTAAACAGAATCACAACGAAGAGATAGATCCTCATAATCTCTCCGCAAAGAGATAATGTCCTTGAATTCAAGAATAACGCAAGCGGCGAGACCCAAGCAACTGTTGTTGTACCATTGATCAGGATGAGGAAGGTTTATACTTATCGAAGATTCTTCACTCTTATGACTGAACCACCACGTAATTTTTTTTTTGTTAAAATTTTAATAAATATCCGTAAAAATATTGACTTTGTTAATGTATTGTTTACAGTATCTTGGGAAATATCTGGACGATATGAGATCAACAAGTAAAATTTGCCAAGTAGAATCGAAGGGAATATTTGATGACGCAATCCTAGGAACTCATATAAAAAGTACAAGAATTTAGTCGAATCAAGAGAAAATTAACATAATAGAGATCATTTCTCTTTCTAATATTATCCATATTAGGCAAGTTCCATGAAAAATAATAGGCAAATTCCATGAAAATAGCAACAACAAAAAAAAAAAAAACGGAGGGCATATACCTGAAGATGAACCTACAATATCAACTGTGGCTGTACGGCTGCTACGCTTTCTAGTGATCACCGGCGACTACAAGGAGAGAGAGAGAGAGAGAGTGGTTGGTACTATTGCCTTTTTTTTTTTTTTTTCTTGAAAGAAAAGACTCAATATCTTTTGGTCTTGCTTTTCAAAGGCTACGAAATTTCGGGGAAGGTTGAAGGAAATGAAAAGGAGCGGTACAAGCTTTACTATTTTTTTTTTCTTTTTTAATAATCTTCTAATCCCCTAACTAATATTTGCTCCTCGTTTTTTTTCGTTTTCATTATTGCGTCTAATCAATTAATATTTTAAGAATTTATATTTAACTAATATTTTTAGAGGAAAAGACATTTTATAAACTCAAAATATCATAATTAATTAATAATTTAATCATTATATTAATATTTTTATTTAAAAAATTGATAAAATCAACATAAAGAGTGAGAAGTTAGAGAAATATTATATTTTTTGAGACACAATATGTGCATTTTAAAGTTCAAGAAATATTTACATACACAAAAAAAATCAAAATGGCATTTATAGCATTTCCGTTAAAAAACTTGACAGAGTTAAGACTCAAAGGACATGTTAACACAAATGATAAAGTTTAAAGATAATTTAAAAAATTTGTTTTTTTTTTTCTAAAAAAGAAACCTTTACTAATGAAATGCTTCCCTGTAGCAATGGGATTCAAATCATCTATTTAATTTCTGTTAATTTATAGTATATTTGAAAGTTTTATGAAAATTTTTATTATACACGATCTACACTACTACACTTCTGCACACGAAAACGTTTCGAAAACAAAAAAAAAAAAAAACTCGGCCCAACCCAGCCTAAACAATTAAATGGGAGGGGCCTAACCGGTACTAGACCAACAGTGTCAGGCCTCGGCCCTAGCCCAAACTTTCACCTCTAGTACTAAGCATTGGTGGAAATTTTGGGCGCGTTTGGAACTCGTTCTAAAATTATTTTGTTTTTTGTATGAAAATGAAAATGAAAACATTTTCAATTTCAGACAAAAATCATTTTTGAAAATGCGTTTGGTAGTTTTATCAAGAGATTATTTTCAATGTAAAAAACCCATTGATGTCTCTGTTTCTCTCTATCTCTGCTCGAGAGAGGAAAAAATGAAAACAAAAAATGAAAAAATGACTAAAAGTTGTTTTTCATTTCTTTCTCATTTTACACTAAACCAAAAAATCGTTTTCATTTTCGTTTTTAGAAACGTTTTCATTTTTTCTTTCTCAAAAAACGTAAAAAATAAAAACGAGATTAATTTCAAACACGGCCTTTACGTTTTGCTTTGCTTTTTAGGAAGAGTGTAAGAACATACACGATTGTTTCTCCTACAGACTAATGCTTCTTTATTTTTAATTTTGGTTTGTGGTGTGCCAAATTTCAATCTAGTTTACAATCAAGTTTTTAACTGAATTGGACATTTAATTTATTATTTTGAGAGTATTTTAATAATTTTTTGGTTTAAAATTTAATTTAAATCTAAACTATTTTAAATATTCAAAAAAACTTCATATATTTTTTTATTATTGTCATGACCTTAAAGATGAGACCGTAATTATTGAGATATAATTAAAAAATTAACTTAATTAAACTGGATTAATTAAGAAAAATTCATGAAAATAAAATAAAATATACAAATATCAAATTAAATATTAAAATATATTGCTCCGAAAAATTCATGAAAATTAAAATATTAAATATTAAAATAAAGAGGGAAAGAAAAGAAAATGAGGAAGAGAGAGAAGGAAAGAGGGAAAGAAAATAAAATAAGGAAGAGAGAGAAAGAATAGAAGGAAAGAGGAAAAGAAAATAAAATAAAAAAGAGAGAGAAATAAAAGAAGGAAAGTGAGAAAGAAAAGAAGAAAAATAAAAGAAAAGAAATTTAAAAAGAAATATTTAGGAGAAAAGGGAAATAAGTGTGTTTTCAAGACTATTAGGGTGAATTGTAAAAATTGAAAGTGATTAAAAATTTTTAATGACATGATTAATTAAATTAATATTAGATATTAATAAATCACAATAAATATAATTAAATATTTTTAATTCTTTAAGTTGTTATAACTATATCAAAAAAATTTATAAAATTTTTAACTTACATTCTATTAATAATGAATTTATTATAATTAAAAATTTAAATTAAAATTAATTTTAAATTCAAACTAAAATGTTAAACTATAAAACTACCAATACTCAAAATAATAAATTACATATCAATTTTTCTGAAAAAAAAAACCCAAATGATGGAGTTTTTGTTAATATTTTATTGTTCAGAAAAATAAATGTTATGTTTTAAAGATAATTAAGTAAAATATTATAAGGGTGTAATTTAAGAAGAATTTTTGTAATTAATTCTTTATGTATTGAGGATTTTCTCGAATGTGGGGTTTGGGGGCTCATTTAATTTGTTGATTCAAATTTGTAATTCGAATTAAAATATTATTTTATGTAAAAATTTTTTATTATAGTATAAAAATAGATGTGACTGTTTTGAAAATTTTTTACTCTAATAAAATTTAAATTTTATACTTAAATTAGTAATGTGAACGGAGATATTGTTGGCACTCAATTGGGGAAAGCAGAACAGAGCGTGGAACGAAAAGAGAGGCTTGTGCGCGTGGGATACAAGTAAGGAGCTTTTTAACTCTCAACCGAGTTTGGATAACATAGGAAGAAGAAAAGTTATTTGTGGACAGCACTAAGCAATGGCCTGGCCTTGGAGGTGTTGTCTTGCAACGGAAATAATGGCTGGTTCACTACTAAACCTACTGCTGTATGTTACTTCTCTTCTCTCCCTTTCTTAATTCATTTCCATTCCTCATTCTTTGCACAAATATCACAGCTTATTTATCAGCCCCCAAAAAAAAAAAAAAAAAATCACATCTTGTGACCAATTCATTTTGTTTTCTGTACTCTTTTTTTTTTTTTTTTTTTTTTTTTTTTTTGAAACTTAAACCATTAATTCGTTTGGCTTATAAATTTTTGCTCCTTCTGTGAAGTGCACCAAGTTTGAGTTGGAGATTCTCCCTCTCCTTTGCTTTCTGAGTAAATATAGCATTACTGTTTTGCTTCTTTAATTTTCTCATTTTGTCCATGGCCACCCTGCTAAACTCGTTCTCACCAGTTAATCACCCATCACCTGAAAACCCCAGAAGAAAAACTAGTACTGGTGGTAGTAGTGGGTTCTTCTTTTTCTCAACCAACAAGCTTGGGGTTTCACTTTCAAGAGTTTTGGCTTCTACCCAGATAACCATTTCACCAAAGGACACCGTTTTTACTCTTCCCAATTGGAGACCAGGGAATAATGATAAGAAAAATGACCAGAGAAGCAAGGAGCTCAGGCTCAATGATGCCTTTCTCTACTTACAATCCATGGTGGTGGACAAAGGCCAAAAGCCTGATGCAGCCCAAGCAACTCAGCTTCTCTATGATCTCTGCAAGATCAACAAGTTGCGAAAGGCAGTGAGGGTGATGGAGACGATGGTCGGTTCCGGCATAATACCTGATGCAGCTTCCTACACTCACTTGGTTAGCAATCTGTGTAGGAGAGGCAACATTGGTCATGCAATGCAATTGGTTGAGAAAATGGATGAATATGGCTATCCAACCAATACCATGACTTATAATTCCCTTGTTAAAGGCCTTTGTATGCGCGGGAATTTGAATCAAAGCTTGCAGCTTTTGGAGAGATTGATGAAGAAAGGGCTTGTCCCCAATGCCTTCACATATTCCTTCTTGCTTGAGGCTGCTTATAAGGAGAGAGGTGTGAATGAGGCTATAAAGCTCTTGGAGGAGATTATTGCTAAAGGGGGTAAGCCTAACTTGGTTAGTTACAATGTTTTGTTAACTGGGTTGTGCAAGGAAGGCAGGACTGATGAGGCTATCAGATTCTTGAGGGATTTGCCTCAAATGGGGTTTAACCCGAATGTCGTAAGCTACAACATTCTATTGCGGAGTTTGTGCGAGGAGGGTAGGTGGGAGGAGGCGAATGTGCTTCTAGCAGAGATGGATGGAGAGGAGCGCTCTCCTTCTGTTGTTACTTACAATATTTTGATTGGCTCTCTTGCCCATCATGGCAAGACTCAGCACGCATTGGAGGTCATCGAGGAAATGGTGAGAGCACGGTTTAGGCCGACGGCTGCAAGCTACAACCCAATAATCGTACATCTTTGTAAAGAGGGTAAAGTTGGGCTTGTTGTTAAGTGTCTGGATCAAATGATGTATAGGAGATGCAGCCCTAATGAAGGAACATACAACGCTATTTCCGTGCTTTGTGGGGAGGGAATGGTGCAGGAGGCATTTTCTATAATTCAAAGCCTTGGTAACAAACAAAAATTGTCGACTCACGAGTTTTATAAAAGTGTGATCTCGAGCTTGTGTAGGAAAGGGAGCACGTATGCAGCATTTCAACTTTTGTATGAGATGACCAAGTATGGATTTACCCCGGACTCTTATACCTACTCTTCTTTGATTCGAGGGTTGTGTATGGAAGGCATGTTGGGTGAGGCAATGGAGATCTTTGGCATAATGGAAGAGAACAATTATAGGCCAGATACTGAAAACCTCAATGCCCTTATACTCGGGTTTTGCAAATCAGGGAGAACGGATTTGTCTCTTGAGGTTTTTGGGGTGATGATTGAGAAAGGCTACATCCCTAATGAGACAACTTATACTATTTTGGTGGAAGGAATTGCCCATGAAGGAGAAGTAGAGTTGGCAGCCGAAGTTTTGAAAGAGTTGGAGAAGAGACAGGTTATGAGTCAAAGAACAGTAGAGAGACTTGTTATGCAGTATGACCTTGAGGGTTTAACATAGGGAGATATTTGTACTTTTCTACAAGTTCCCCCAAAAAAGAAAAAGAAAAGAACAAAAGTTACTTTTCAGTGACACAGAGATTATTACTCTGGTTGAGATTCGTGTTCAGTTTTGATTCTGCAGATTGACTGCGTTGAAACGAGAGAGAAGAAACATCTATTTTCATACATTTTGAAATTTACATGATCGTCATACTTGTGTAAATGGGCAATCGACAAGTTAGAAAATGAGATTAGTTTTGTTTGGTAATTTTGCGGAGAAGTCGTTTGTTTCTTCCCTAATACGTTGTTAATGCACGTTGGTTCTTTCTTGTTTCTTTCAAAGGAGAAAACCAATTTCAGTTTTCTAGTTGTTTTCTCAGAACAAAAGAACTGCCAATATTGTATGAAACAACATTGTTGTTAGTTCCATGTTAGCTTAAAAATGAGTATGATTTTTTCTGTAAGTGTGTCATAAAAGCTTGCCAGATTGCACACATGATTTGTTATTCTTTCCTCTGAAACGAAATGTGAATACTCTTTAATGGTATGAGGTAAATTGGAATGATCACTCTTGGTCCCTACTTTCTTTTCTTTTCTTCTTTTTTTTTTTTTTTTTTTTTTTTTTTTTTTTTCATTTCCCTGTTTTCTTGATACTTTATTCTTTCAACGCAAAGGAAAGGATCAATTCTTGAAATGAAATTCTATCTTAATTCCAGTATCCATTTTGTCCCACATTGTTACCTTTACTGGAAATGAATTTCTTTTCAACTTATGTATTTTTTCAACATCTTTTTACATAGGATAAATATGTTTAGAACAACAGCCGAAGTTCCCATTTCATAAATGAAATGATGGAAAATGTTCAAGTTCAAGTTGGAAGGTATTTCTCATAGTCTGCAGGTTATGAAAAACACTTGCTGCTACTGTTGGACACGTATAAACACAATCATGTGTACAGCGGAAAAGTATTTTGTATACCCAATATTCAAATAAGCTCGGCTCAATGAGCCGAAGGAGGCTTAACACTTGTACGGTGTGCTTGGACAGCGCAGGCACGTTGCACCGATGTCAAGTTCAGGCAGCCGCTCATGATGAGAGAATGTCTTCGGGAACAAGTGTGAAGCGAGGGAAACATGTCGCACATGGCCTGTACTGCGGGTGGGGTTAGCGCCGTGCACTGGCTTATGTTGAGAGTCTTAAGCTCTTCTTCATTGTTCCTGGCGTCGACAGATTCCCGCATGGCGGGCTTGTTCCTTACTCAACTCTGGGCCAGGAATACATCGCCCTGTCAGTGTTGATCTGACAGTAGTATAGGCCAAGGGATCTCAGGCGAAGACACCTATTTGCCAATGCAATCACACTATCATCTGCAATACAAGAACGGATAAATCAAAGAGTGTTTTTCCATCAAAATGCACAATGAAAATATGGAGATTCTAAAGTACAGAGGAACAAAAAGGGGGGAAAAAAACTATGTATCCATTTATCTAAACACTATCTTGAAGTTAAAATTCCTTATTTGTATTTTTAGGGTCAAAAGCATAAGCTAATGGATCTAACATAAAAATACCTGTTATAAGGACACATCTACATAGATCAAGGGTTGTGAGATCAGAGCACCCACAAGCCAAACACACAACTCCGGCATCGGTCACATGTTCACGCCATCCAAGGTCTAGAGACTGCATCTGATTGCAGTAACGTCCAATCGCCTGCATGCGCACAGTTTCACGGTTAGTTAGGAACCATGCTGGATAATGCATGGAAAAAATTATCTAAAACTTATTTATACCTTCAATGCCCAGTCTGATGCAGCTTTGACACATCCATAAAGGTTTAAGACTTTCAATTTTCTGCAAGAACTAGCTAGATATTCAAGAGCAATGTCACTAAAAGCATAACAACCACTGGTGTTGAGTTTGGTGAGGTTTTGGCAACCAAGAGCTAAGGCGTATAAAGATTTGTCACTGAGCTTGAAGCTTTTGCTGAGATCCAATATCTGCAAATCATGGCAGAAATTTGCTATAGTCTCAACAGCATTATCCTCAACTTGTGGTTTGTCCTGGCGCAGAATCAGAGTTCGTAGTTTTGTGAATTTAGGAGGAAGTGATAGGACCAAGTTGTTCATTTTCTTGGTACACCTAGAAAGAGGAAGAGATGAAATGAGCCATATTCAGGAATTCATTTTGTGAAGCATAATCAGTAATTAAAATAGTAATAATAATAAATGATAAAAATCTCAAAACAACCATCTCTCCTGTAAACAAAATTTTAGGAAATAGGAAGCCCATGAAGAAACTCAAAACCCTTCTCTCCTCTAAACATAATCTCAACATACTTTAAAGACTTCTGTAATTTCCTTCCCAATATAGAGGCTTACAATTAAATTGTACATAACTTAAACATCGAAGCTCTTCTCCGCGAAAAGGCCATAATAGAGAACAAAAATTCGAAGTTTTCCAGCCAAGGGTTGTAGTGCGCCCAACTCTTTGATGCTTGAACCACTTCCACGTTGACCTAAAACAAAGTGTTTGGTATGAGAATTCGTGTTATGGTTCGAATCATAGTTCGTGGTCGTTACAGTGTGTTCTCTCATAAAAAACACGTAAATTGAAAATGATTTTAAATTCATGAACCAAACGTTAATAAGTAACTCTTTTAAGTTACCCATATGCGGTGGCATCTCTTCTAAAGGTACGTTAGTAGTATCAAGATGACGCAAATGGATCAATCGTCCCATGTCTTTTGGCAACTAAGATATTTGCAGTTTGACAATTACAAAGTCTGCAAATTGTATAGAGTACAGATTGAACAAGGTATCTCTTCAATTTCACTACTAGATAAGTCAATATCCCTTAGATGTTTCAGCTTACTAATCGAGCAACAACTCTATCCTGATTCCTTTCGATAAAGAAAGCACTCTTAAGCACCTCGTTTGGAGCTTTGAACTTTCTAAAGAAAGCACTCTTAGGAAAATGATTAAATATTGACAAGCCATTGTTGTGATTTTGAAAGGAATCTTCCTGTGAGTACGTAGAAAAGATGTCCTCGGTAAAAACAATATTTCTCCTCTTCCTTAAATGGATCATTTGTTTTGTTTTGAGTCAATTAATACTTTAGATTTGTAACAGTGGGACTTTTCGCAATAAGATATTCATACTTGCGTTTTAAGGCTTATTCTTTTGAGTGAAAAACTCAAAAAAAAATAACTCGGGTTACAATTTTATTCGAGTTCATGTTATTTTAAATTTAAATTCGAGTTTAAACTCGAGTTCAAACTCGAGTTTAAGACTAAAACTCGAGTTCAAGCTTCCCATTCAACTCGAGTTCAGAAACTCGAACTCAAATTAATGAACAATATTTTTTCTATTCTTAAAAATGCTATAACTTTTTCGTTTTAATTCTGATTAAGATGATTTTTTTTCTATGCGTTGACAATGAAAAGACGAATAAAACCCGACCCATATACCCTATTAAAATTTTTCATGAGCATTGAGTTTTTATTAAAATATTATCTAAATACAAATTCAAGTTTTGACTCACTCAAATACAAACTTAAAAAAATTCTTATCTCAAACCATAATTCAAATGTATACAACCAAATACAAACTCAAGTTACAAGTTCAACTCAAATTTAACTCACAAATTATATTCAAGTTAAACTCTAAAAGAACAAGCCCTTAGTTTCTTGGAAAGGCAGTTGGAAGAGGAACACTTTTATTTTTATATGTTTTAAAAACACTGTATTGACATAATGCCGATGAAAACGAGAGCTAAATAAATATATTTTGTTTTTAATAGTCCTTGTCCTTTATGCAAGCAACTTCAGAAAGCCCCCGATAATAAATGATAGATCCCCCAATATTAATTTTGGAATTTGAATAATGGATTCTTTAAACCCCAATTATCTTTAAAGAAGAATGTTAACCAATCATGCACATTGATCTCACTCAGTAAAATATCACTCACCGTACCAAGAAAACTCAAATTAATATGACAAATAAAGAGGCAAACATAAAAGAAAAGAAACAATTAAGAAAATTCAAAGCATTATGTATGTATATTGGGCATTTAGCCCTTGCAAAGAGTATGTCCATTGTGCTGACCACACTTCTTGGTCCCATCCAACATTTTCAAGAAGCCAGACAAAACTATAGAATCATTTTTTCTATCTCTCTCAACCAACCACTCCTCTTGGAGCTCTACATTCACATCCCTCCTAAGAGCAAGAACTTGGTAGTTCCTCCTCAAATAATCCGCGTGTTCCACGAGCGCATCCTGAGCATACCGTTTCCCCACAGTTCTCACTGCAGCTGTGCTCAGCAGCTCCTCCAAGGAGCCATGCTTTTTCAATAGCTTAAGAGCAGTCTTCCGCCCAAACCCCGGAGCCACATGCTGGATCCCGGGCACTCCATCAGCCTCGTCGCCCAAAATGCACCGCAGGCTCAAGTCGCAATGCGGATCACAGTTGTACTGCGCCTCATAATGCTTGAGAGTATAAAATGACCATCGACTCAGCTCAGCCAATGGCATTACCATTTGAACATCCTCTGAAAGCAGCTGCTTGAAGTCCTTATCAGGCGAGGCAACCACCACCTTGTGGCCCTTCCGCAGGGCCTGTTCCGCAAGCGTGGCCACAACATCATCCGCCTCATGGCCCTCGAATCTCAACACTGGTACATTGCACTTCCCAAGAACGTCGGTGATGATTCGGTGGGCCCGTCCCACGTGGCCTCTCGAGAATTGCCTCGAGAACTTCCACCTGTGCGCTTTATAAGAAGGCAACAACTGCCTGCGTTGTTCACTTCCCCTCTCACCATCAAGAACCGCTATGACAGGGTCACTAAGGCTAACTTGGTTGAAAAATAAATCGACCCAGTAGCCAAAAGAGTGCAAGCTTGGGCTACTTCCTGCATAACAAAGTGGATTGACATCTAAAAAGAAGACCCTTTTCTTGGCTTTGCCCTGAACCTTGTCCAAACTCTTTTTCTTAACTTGCCCACCAAGTGTTTGACAAAAGTTATCGGAGAAAGATGAGGACGAGAAGGCTGGAGAAGAACAATTCCCCCATTTTGAGATCACTCTCGTTCTGATTTTCGCTTTTCGGTGTGAAGTGAATAGAGGTCGGGTTTGAATTCTAGTGGGAGGAATGGGAACTTCCACCATTCGCAACATTTTTCAGCCTCTTAAAGTGGGTTCTAATTGGTTCCAATAAAGACGCACATGAACACGTAGAAAAAAAGAAGATAAGTTCAGTTGCACAAAAGATAAGAGAAAAGTGAGATATATATATATATATATATATATATATATGTGTGTGTGTGTGTGTGTGTGTGCGCGCGCGCGCGCGCGTATGAAGCAACAGAAAGTAGGAAGAAAAAGGGAGATGGATTTTAGTAGCTATATATGAAGGTGAGAAAAGCTCTGAAAAAAGGAAAAAGAAATGAATAGTTGGAGTAATACCGACCTTTGTTGGTAAGCAAATATGGTGGCGAAACAGAGAAACTGGATTAGATTTGTTGCAGATGGCGAGAGAGTGAGAAAGGAGAAGGAAATTATGACATAGAAATGGAGTTGTGACCTTCACGTTTCGACAAAATCAGGGAGTTATCCCCATTGAGTATGACCCAAACTATTTAACTAAGATAAGGAGACAAGTCAAATTAAAATCTGATTCATTTCGCTTATTCGAGTTTTTAATTTTAATTTTTTAAAAATTTAAAAAATATTACATTTAAATTTTTTTTATTTCAGTTAAAAACTCTTAAAAAATATCACATCTTAGTTTGAATTGAAAACTCGAATCCGTAATGTGAACGAGGCCAAAATATTTTGTAGAGGTAAATTGTAAAGGTAAATTAAGAGCCAGTTTAGTTCACTGATTCGAGTTTTTAATTCGAGATGATATGTGATTTTATGTGAGAATTTTTTATTATAGTAAAAAAGTTAAATGTGACTGTTTATGAGAACTTTTTACTGTAATAAAACTCGAATCGGTAAAATGAATATGACCTAAATACCTTATCTTATAGATGTTTACGAGTCAAAACTCTTCTTTTTATATAGAAATTAAAAGTTTAGGAAGGGAGGCGCCAATGTTAGTAGGGGTGTTTATGGACGGGTGGTTGCCCGGTGGGTGCGTTGTGATCGGGTTAGAGGGGTGACCAACGATAGTTAGCATACTCCAAGCATTGTCAAATGGGACCTTAGAGGTTGACAGAAATATTCATAAAAGTTATACAGATAAAATCCTATCTCTTAAATGAGAAACGCGTCATCTCAATCCTACTGAATGTATTACAATTAGAGTACATAAAGAGTGGTTTCAGGCACTCTAAATGGAGTATTAGCTTGATTAAAATAAATCTTTATATTAAATAATTTTGGGTAACCCAAACACTCGTGACAACAAATCAACCATGATATTCTATTATTGTTAGGCCAACACATTCAGTGGTTAAACAGAGTCTTTTTTGTTCAGTTGTTTCAAGGTGTAAAGTGCCAAAGGTTGCAAAATTTTCAGGAGGAAAAGTGTTTTTTTTTTTTTTTTTTTTTTTTTTTTTTTTTTTTTTTTTTAAGAAAAGGAGGAGGAAAGTGATTTTAATCTTAATTAATAGGGCTAAAATGTAATTTTATCCATGAGGAAGAGGAAAACATGTCAAACGGGGGAAAAGGGGGTGGAAATTGAATTTAATAGAAAAAGAGCGAGGGAGAATGAAAATCAGAAGAATATATAAGTGAACACGCCTGAAACATTCGCAACAAGTTTCAAATACAAAACCAAACCCGCTCCCACCCTAATTCATAAAAAAAAAAAAAAAAAAAAAAAAAAAAACCCCCCCCCCCCCTCCAAAAAAAAAAAAAAAAAAAAAAAAAAAAAAAAGAAGAACTCCCTCCCACCCTTCAAGAGAGAGAAAGAAAGAGAGTGAGAGAGAGCCCCTTCCAGAGAGCTCCTCTAGAGAGAGAAAGTTAGCTCTTCTGGAGAGAGCTCCAGAGAGAAAGACATCAATGGCGAGAATCAAGGTGCCTGCTGCCCGGAAGTCCAACCAAAAAACCCCTAGTGGCCAGCCCCTTCTAGAGAGCTCCTCTAGAGAGAGAGAGTTAGCTCTTCTGGAGAGAGCTCCAGAGAGAAAGACATCAATGGCGAGAATCAAGGTGCCTGCTGCCCGGAAGTCCAACCAAAAAACCCCTAGTGGCCAACCTGGTCTCTCTCTCTCTCTCTCTTTCTATATCTATATCTATATATATGTATATGTATATATGTAATGTACAATGCGAGTTTTGTATATGTAATTATTGGTATTTTCAAGGGATTTTGTTCTGTTCTCTGTGTATAACATCTCATTTCCTCTTCAAATTTTGCAGGAACCTCCTCGCCTGCAACTTCTTCGGTACTCTCATTCTCTCTCTCTCTCTCTCTCTTCGATTTTTCCCCCTTTTTTTTTTTGGAAGGGTCTTCCCTATTTTGTTGTGCTTCTCACTTGGAAAATTTGACGAAAGAGGGGTTTAGCTTCGGAAGATTCGAGCTATTTCTATGTTTTCTTGCTTTAAGATTTTTGAGATTTTAGGTCATTCGAAAAAAGCAAAAGAAGAAAAAAAACCCCTTCTCTCTCTCTCTCTCCTCATTTTCTCGGTCTTCAGATTTTGAGATTTTTGGCTTTGTTAATTTCATTAAGAGTAGTTAGGTCATTTAACTTTTTGCGATTAATGTGCTATTAAATTTATCTGCATATTCTCTTTAGCCAATAAAATCGAATTAAAGAAGGAAACATGAAATTTTTCCAGGAAATAAGAAATAGAAAGAGGGGAATAGAGAGAGATAGAAAGGAAATTGGAGAAAGGAAGAGCAATAAAGGAAGAATGTGAGAGAATAGAGAGATATAATAGAATCAAGAGAGGGAAAAAAGAGAGGGAGATAATTCATTCATGATAGTCTGTTCTGGTCTGAAACACAAATTACAAACTTTTCCCCTATTTGGAGGGAAGTAAATAACAAGAAAAGGAGACTAATGCGAATAAGAATGTAAACTAACAAATAACGGAGACTGCCCAATTATGAAATTTACTGAAATAGTTTAGGGAAACTTGTTAAAAGTTAAAACTCCAATAATACAATTGGGAAATAGAACTTAATACTACTTCTTTCTATGTTATTATTAATTAAGTGTTAAGTGTTTAAGTCTCGTGGTTTAACATTTTGCAATGGATTTGAAGAGAAGTCGCAGAGGGCCAAGAACATTTAACAGGGATACTCCAGAAGGTAAATATGAACATTATGATTAAGTTTTGTGTGGAGATGGAGATGGTGGTTCTGATGCTTTTATAATGTCATTTCCTTTACATATGGAATTGTTTTTATTATTAATATTATTTTTATTGTTATTATTTTCTTTTAATCAATAGCTTCAAGGGCAACTGGGCAGAGGAAGAAGCATCGCCACAGGCCAGGAACCGCAGCACTTCGGGAGATTCGACACTTGCAGAGGACTTGGAAACTGCTTATTCCTTCTCTTCCTTTCATCAGATGTGTAAGTCTGCTGTCTCCATTTTTATAGGGGAGCACCCACTTGCCCAAAACAAACCTGTGTCTTAACATGCCTCCAAACACATTCACAATGTTATTGAAGTTTTATTCCATTCTATAAATATTGTTGCACTAGCCAATCACATGGCTGTATTTTCAAAGATGGTATGGTATGGATAGTGAGATTATCCTTGTGTTATGAAAAAGAACGGATGCCCTGATTACTGTTTTTTGGCGTTTTATTATCTTTTAAAGTTCTATGCATTTGTCATATTAGTGAACTTTGATCATGTAATACTAACAGTTCGTGTGATTTATTTCAGGTAAGAGAGATTACTAAGCAACTTTCTCCAGAGGTTACTCGGTGGCAAGCTGAAGCTCTATTGGCACTTCAGGAGGTGATTAACTTTTCTTATATCTAAGTCAAGAAGTTGATGTTTAGCTGCTTGCATATAATAAGACATAACCTAATTATGTGATTAAGAAACATGGAAATGGATTTACCAATTTTATTCATGCTTTTACTTGGCGAGGAAATCAAGTTGTTTGGGTAGGAGGGAAAGAATACTCTATCTGCAATGAGGCATGGAGTGTCATGTGACATTTTCAATTCTCCGGTGCGCACACGTGTGTGTGTGATTATCAGAATATTATTTCTTAAAGTTTTTCTTCTCTATCTTGGTTAACGCATGAGACAGTATGGTCATCTCAAATAACTTGTTACTTACATTTGCTTAGAACGATATCTGCAATGATAATTGCACATGAAAAGTATTCATGTTGACTCTAAAATGATGGTGTGATTTTCCTTATTTGATTAATAGACATCTTGTCAATCACTCTTTTCCACGCGGTTTGATTTTCTCTATAGGAAGAAATTTGTAGATTTTTTGTCTTGGGGACTAATTTAAGGACTGATGACTCCACTATGACTACACTCAGTACCCATTTTGAGCTTGTGAATTTATGAAATTAAGTCTGCTTAGATTACTGCCTATGCTTAATTGCTAAAAGCATGTAAAACATAGCAGCGCATGCTCCCTCAATCATATGATATGGAAACAACTTGTCCTTTGTCGTCAATTGTTCTATCTTTGATCACACCATGGAATTCCCATATTTCTCCGATGTGCATAACAGACTCTATTTTGCTTTACAACTCTCTCTACCTGCATCCATTGAAGCTTCACTCTATCAATAACACGAGAATATATATAATATTACTCTTCTCCATTTCTATGATCCATTACATATCTATATCCATTTCTTGTATAATCCTTTTACAAGGTTTCACGGAAACATGAGGAAAGCGATAAACTTTTTGGTTTCAACCATAAAACATAGAAGGAATGGCAAACGATCATATAATTATGTTCTAAATTTTATAAGGGGATCAGCTAACCAGGTCTATGAAATATGTATCCACTCTAAGTTCTAACCATCAAAGAGTTCTTGGCCTTTTAAAGGCGGGGTGGCAATGACCATTCTTTCTATTTCTCATGGTGTAATTACAGAGACAGAAGCTCAACTAGAAGGAAGCGGCAGATGATTTTTATGCTATACATTTCTGTGTGTATCTATATATACATATTTGTGTGTGTTTTGGGCCCTCACTCGCATGTCTTTAGTACATTGATTAATGATTACCACTTATTATTTTTGCTAGACATAAAGTCGTTATTTTGCTATTTCCATATTTCTTACAGGCAGCAGAAGACTTTTTGGTTCATTTATTTGAAGAGTCAATGCTTTGTGCAATTCATGCAAAGCGTGTCACTCTTAGTAAGTTGAATTTTGTTCTCAGTTCATTTTATTTCCATATGCTATTTTATCTGCGAATAACAAATTTGAGGCTTGGTTCTTTTGGCTTGGCTAGAGAAGGGTGAACTTGTTTTATCTTTTATGACCTTAGGCCCTTTCTATCATATTTATGTTAATGCAGCTCTTGCATAAAACATTCTTTTTTTTTCTTTTTATATTGTGTTTGCTCTGAGACTGGCTTTTGGGGATCTTCAAATAATATCTTATATGTTTTGTCTACAGAATGATAATTTGACACTGTTTTTAGACTGCCCTAAAAAGAAAAAACCTTTCTCAGAAAAAAGGATACGAATATAAAACTTTCCTCTTAGGCAACGGAGGCAAGAGTAGTTATCAAACGGAAGTGAATCTGTATGATACCTTTTTTTATTTATTTTTGTGTCAGTTTAAAGTTTAAATCATGAAGGTGGAACTCTATGGTATAAATTAGGAAACACATGTTCAAAGGTGGAACTCTGTGATATAAATGCTACCTAGAAATGTATTGCAGATAAGTGACTAGAATTACGCATTTCTCTTGAATGCTCTCTCATATCTCTTGTCACGGTTTTACCTGAGCAAATATCACCTTATATTTTTATTTACTACCTTCTTCAACACCAACTCATATTTCATACAAAAACATTGTTGTGACCTTTTGGATAGACAAGCATGCCTAGCAAACATGAAAATTGAATGCATTCTTTTAGCAAAATATTATGGGGCTGTTGTTAAAAGGACGTAAAAGCTCCGTCTCTGTCACTATATTATGAAAAGTATTAGGCATTGAAGAAACATTTTGAACATACTAATTGATCACATAGTTAGATTTTGTCCATCTTTTTAGAACCATCAAACTATATCGTGTCAATTGAGCTGGTGTAGTTATGACATTATTTGATGCCCGTCTTTCTTTGCTTCTTTCTATTAGAATGTTGGTATGTAACAAAGTTTGTTCTTGTTTCGTTGCCTCAGTGAAAAAGGATTTCGAGTTGGCACGTCGAATTGGAGGGAAAGCGAGGCCTTGGTGAGAGCATGGAAAACTATAACTAACACCATTTCTTTTCTATTCACCATTTCTGATCGATCACTACTACCATTCTTATTTATTTGTCCTTTGATCTTTAACAGTAGCTATCTTGCCGGTAGTTGAATTTTGAGAATTAGGAAGTAAATAATGTAGACGTACAGCTTTCTTTCTTTCTTTCTTTTAAAGTGATGTCGTAGAGTAGGGATGATCTTTCTAATGTATATTCAGTTGTATCGGCATGGCCCACCTTTATTTTAATCGTCCATAATTTTGTGGCGTGGGAGTTGAGACTAAGGATTTGCCAATTGAAAACTAATTAAGATTTGCAATATTTTTACTTTACTCTGTTTCTCTACTTGTTGGAGAATTAAATGCAGGATTAGTTTTGGGAATAACCCATAGTCTGTCAGGTTATAAATCATAATCTGTCAAACTGTTACCCATAATATGACTCAGTCTTATAGGTTACATTGGCCGGCGGGTTTTAGATTGTTGACCGCCAGCAGTTGGGGTTATAGTTTGACACATTACCTATAATATGTCAAGTTATGACTCATAATCTGTGAGTTTATATCAAACTATGACCTATAGCTTGTCAGAATATGACCCCATAGTTTGTCAAGTTACGTGGCCGACGGGTCTCCGATCGTTGGCGTCGGCCATAGTATGTCAGACTATGATCTATAGTCTACCAGATAATGATTCATAATTTGACAGATTATTAATCATAATCTATTAAATTAAAATTCACATTAACAACAAATTACCAAATTTACATAAAAAATACACAACATGAGAAATATCACATTACATAAAACAAAATACAATTCCAAAATCCATAAACAACAATTTCTCAGCCAAATTCTTTTCTTGTTCAGCTTCCTCAACCCTTCAACATCCAATATTAGTCCATTTAGTCCGCATGACCACATGGATCCCAAAATATCTAAAATAGGCAAACAAACAACTATTAACCAATCATCAATCATTTTGTGCTAAATGTCTTTGTAACTTTAGGTCCAGATAACAAACATAGAAATACATTCACATTTTCGAGGTCAATCTCCAAATTACCTCCACCACTATGGTAATATTAAGAAAAGAGAGACTACTTTAATTCACTATGAACAATGTTGTATTCTACTTCAAAATATTCGACAACAAAACAATGTAGATGCAAAACTAACTTTCTATACAACGGGAAAGACGAAACACTGGAAGCTATAAATAGAGAAATAGAGAGGACAGAGGTTTCCAAGTAGGATAAATTCACAAAAGTTAAGTACCTTTGGCTGTCAATAAGTCATTAAACAACCTTTTTCTTCTCACTGATCAGCGGGGAAATTCTAGCATCAGTTTCAAGAGGAAATTGATCTGACATTTACACAGACAAACTATGAAATCCAACCGGAGACCAAAACAATAAAGAAGCACTTGAACCACCAATATTATTTATCATTTTTGCCGACATACATGGCCACACATGCTTACAGTATTCTCAGGAAGCAACTATCTCAAAGATAACATAAACCACCAATATTATTTATCATTTTTGCATCGAATCCCAATTTACAATTCAAAAGATCCTAATTATTAAAAAAAATTTGACTATCCCCAAAACGTACCAGACACAATATACAAAGTTTTCCTCAGAAAGAACCACCCTACGTTTAATCTTCAACATGGATCACACAAATAAGCAAGAGAAGTGAAATTCTTACCTAGTTTTCTGGATTTATCAGCAAGAACACCCATTACTTTTTGAATGATGGGCCAAAACAGACCACGGAAACTCTCATCATCAAGTCCTTCATTTAGCAGGACGTTGAGAGCATAGTTCTTGCCAGGCCCCACACCAATGTCCTTAATGTGTCCAGTCCCTGGAATGAACTCCCCAAATTTATGGAAGGACACAGTCAGTCAGTGGAGTAAAATGCGTCCTCAACACCGTCCACATAATACACGCTGTGCAATGACAACGAAAGAATCATGTAAACAATGTTTTCAGCCTAATCCTAGATGAAAACCAGCGAATGGAGTAGCATAACTCAAAATTATAAATTTGAAAAGTCACAAATATTCAGAACCTACAAAATTTCGATACTTCTACGAGCAATGACGACTTATTCCAACTACATTACTACATTGCAATGAAAGAATCCTAGTTGTATGCTTAAAAGATTGACCCACTTGCTTCTCTCATGTTAAAATTCTCTCCATAAAACCCCCTTTTTCTACTAGATTAACTGCTGGTTCCAATATGTCAATTGATCACCGGTGAAAAGACTCCGCGAGCCGACATGGCTAACTAGTACTAATCCAATACTAAAACACTAGAAACTGCTATTATATAACAGAAAAGTACAGAAAATGTCACGCCCCCCAACCGGAGTGGGTGACGTGGAACTCGATTTGGGATTAATAAAACAGATTCCCAACCGGGTCCCACACTTAACTGCATTAATATATAAATAAATGACATAATCCAGGAGCCTCTGACACACATGGCTCCACCCCACAGGACATACAGTATCGTACATACATGCACATGTAAATAATCAATTACAATAGATATCATCCACAGTCTAGTAAATCCAAATGTCATTTATTACAAATTCTTACATATTCCTTACACTTTATGTCAGAGGATGAACACAATCCTCACTTGATCGTTCCGTAGCACCACTCAGCTACTCCCGCTACTGTGCCCCGCTCCTAGAGTCTCCTGGGAGGGGTTTTAAACATTTGAAACATAAAACGTGAGCGAAAGGCCCAGTAGGATATAATTTGAAATATTTAAAATAAACGAATAAATAAATGAATAAGCAAGTAAACAAGACATTCAGTCCCGACAGAACAGCCGGAACCTCACATCCTTTTTCTCAAAGGAAATATAACTGAAAATAACCATATTACAGGCTTCAGCAAGTAATTAGTACAAATTACTCACCTTACCAAGTGCCTCGCCTACCCGGACCGGTTTCGGGTTCTGCCCCCGAGGATGCACTCTCCGCATCCTATTTAGGCTTACAGCAATAGACTCTATTACCAGTTTACAAGACCTCTTATCTTAAGAAATCATCCATTTAACATTATGAAATCATTCATATGACC